CCACGGTCCTCTGCTCCTGGTGTTCCAGGGAGCACTCCTCAGCCAGTCCTCATGTGGCTCCAGTGGGCCCAGGTGTGGCATATGCGAGGGGCTTTGTGACCTTCACCTCATGCTAATTCTGCAGGGGAGCACAAGGTAGAGGCCTGGCTTCCTCCACCTGGATTCCAACACAGTGTTGGCCAGCCTGAGAACTGGACAGACACCTGCCCTGGGGCCAGAGCCACCACAAGAGCCCCCCGCAGGCCAGCAGCCTGTGGTCAGCCCTTCCGTATCACGGAATCTCTCTGCCTTCTGCTGTCAGGAGAAAACTATGCTTTTAAAGGGCTCATACCATGGACTCACCCAAAATATGTCCCTTTTGATTAACTCAAATTCTGATTAGCGAACTTAATTATGTCTGCAGAATCTCTTTTGACATGCAACGGGACACAATTGCAGCTGTGAAGCTTCACTACATTGGGTCCTGGGGGCTAGGGCAGGCCATCTCCAGGGGACATTTTAGAGTTCTGCCCACCACATCTTCCTAAGCCATTCGCCACTGCCCTAAATGGTCTAGTCTTGTCTTGATCCACGTGGGCTGCCGTGACAGTCACCGTGGATGGGGGCTTAAACAGCAGGCATCTTTTCTCACAGTGCTAGAGTTGAGAAACCTGAGATCCAGCTGCTGGCCAACATGGTTCCTGGAGAGGACTCCCCACCTTAGTTCGTACACAGATACCTTCCTGGCTTGCGGAATCCTCAAGTGGCAGAGAGAGAGCATCTCAGGTCTTGTTTACAAAGGCACTGACCCCATCCCTGGGGGCTCCACCCTCATGACCTAATTTCCTCTTGAAGTCCCTTCCCAATACGACCACACACGGATTAGGCTTCAACCCCTGGCTCTGGGGGACACAGACATTGGGTCCACAGCAACCCCCCCCCCACTGTGCTCTGTTGGGTTGAACAGTGTCCCCTGCCCAGCCTGCCGTTCCCGGGCTCCCGGGGTGTGTGCACACCAGCTGCTCCTTCTGAAGGCTCCAGCCCCTGCCAGACATCTAACCGGGGTCTCCGGTTGGAGCTTTCCTCTGGAAAGCTTTGCTGACCCTCTAGAAGCCCATGGGGGTCTGGTCCATGTTCACTCAACGGTCATTGCTGGCATTATCACACGGCACCATCACAACCTTGTTTAATGGAATATAAGCTCTGTGAGGGCAGAGACTCTGGCCACAATGAGCCTGAAGCAAAAGGCGCAGAACGAATTCTGACAACCGCCACCAACCTGCTGATGGAAAACAGCGCCCAGGAACAGGCTTCTGTGGAGATGCAGGCCTTTGGCTCCCATTTGAATCTCAGGCCTGAATGCAGTGTGCTGGGGGTTCCAAATCCAAAGATAATTACTAGCTGATGATTTGGGCACAATATTTAAACTTTCTCAGTGTCTTTTAAGCTTGAGGTCTTCTCTTACATGTTGCAGAATCAGCAAACAACACAGGAAGGTGTTGGTTTCTTTCTTTTTTTGTGGGGGGGGGGGTCGGGGGGTACCAGGTATTGAACTCAGGGCCACTCAACCACTGAGCCCCATCCCAGCCCTATTTTGAATTTTACTTAGAAACAGGGTCTCACTGAGTTGCTTAGAGCCTCACTTTTGCTGAGTCTGGCTTTGAACTCGTGATCCTCCTGCCTCAGCCTCCTAAGCCACTGGGATTACAGATGTCACCACTGTGCCCAGCATGGTGCTGGCTTTTTAACATATTAAGTAATACAATTTATGTGACATTCAAAATCCAGAAACTTCTCAAATCACTGAGTAAAAAGGCTTCGTTGGATTCCGCCGTCTCTGCAGACAAGTCAGCTGTAACTCAGTTGAGCCGTCGGAACAGCAGGGAATCGGCACCCGGTCATTGCCAAGGCGCCTTCCCCCTCCCCCACCCGGTGCCCCAGGCCCCCTACCCAGGAGGAGCAGGCACCACCAGGAGGATCACTGCTCCAGGCACTAATGCAAGGATCATCTGATTTAGGTGCAGCTGCTTCTCATCACTGGAAGGAATCTAATCGTTGAGCTGCCATCTCCATCTGTACTGGCCAAGGACAGTGCCCCAAGAAGGCTGCAGGCTCCACGGGACTCAGACAACGAGACCACAGCAGCCGCTGTCCTGCGGGAACTGGGGCGGCCTCAGCAGCCTTGAAGGCCAGGATGCCAGGTAAGACTTGTGCCTGCGGGTAGACACTGGCCATGATCTGGACACGCACATTAGGACCACAGAGCCCTAAAGACAGCAGGCGGTGCACTGTGGCTTTCCCTGAGCAGTCCCTTTCCGTGCCCCCCTGTCCCTCTGCTTCAGGGATGGGACAACTGAACAATGTTTCATGACAGGGAAGGGATGTGGCTTTGTCCAATCACTCATCCCTGTGGTTAGGGACAAGCCTCAGGCCTTGTAACGAGAAGTAGTGATGTCACCGTGTGTCTTTCCTCTGGCCTCTTAGAGATCCCACAAGGGCCACTGGCATAAGGCAGACGTGACTGTCACAGCCATCAAGGAGAATGAAGTGAGATAATGTGCATAACCTCTGCTCAGAGGGGGAGGCTCGTCACCAGGGCCACTTAGGCTTCCCAGGAGTCATGGGAAGAGAAGGAAGACAGCTACCTACGAAGGAGGTTCCGGGAGGCATGCTCTAGAACCTTCTCTTAAAGGCACACACTCCATTCTCGGTCATCTGCCACCCCAGCTCTGTTCCTTCTGTTCTCAGAGCTTTGCCCGGGGACCTCTGCGGGAGACTTCTGCTATAGGTCTGAGTGGCACTCTGTCCCTAGGTTGAGGCGTCCCTTCCTCTAATCCACATGGTTCTGCTGACACTCTGCCCATCAAGGATCATAACCCCTCAAGGCTGCAGGGCTGTGGATGGGCCATGATTCAGGGTGGCCAATCCTAGCTCCTCTGTCCCTCAGTGGCATGGACAGATCTGAGACATGAGCCTGTGATACAGCTGACCCAAGAGTTCACTGGGGACTGAGCCATGCAAGTTGGCAAACATGCCCTCTCCGTCTGCACCATGGTCTCTGCCATTGAGAAAGGGTTGAGTCCGCAGGGGACCTTGAGGCCACCTGCAAATGAAAGCAAGAGGGGACAGACTGACGGCTGCAGAGTCTGGGGTCCTCTCCACTGACTGACCAGCTACCCATCCAATCCCATGGGGTCCCTAGGCACCTGGCCATCTCATGAACCAATAAATTGCCTCTTTGATTAGAGCGAATTGCAGTTTCTTTCTCTTACCATTAAAAACTCCTACCTAAAGCGCACTCTTCAAATTCCGTCACTTATATGCAAGATCTACTTTGCACCTTTATTAACTATTAGTATCTGAACAGGGGTGGCCATATTTGGGTGGTATCAGCAGAGGTCAACGCAACATCATCATAAAAAAGAGAAAATATTTTAAGTGGACTTATTAGAAAAATTCAAAACCTGATGACTTTGTATCAGTCCCCCAAAATGGTGAGGGCCCAACCAGAGAGACCACAATCCCACATGGCCCGTGATGGTCCTTTCCTTCCCATCTGGCCTCAGGAAAGAGGATGGGGACCATCCCAGCTCACCTTTGAAGCAGTCAGGTCCCCTTGGGCTGAGAGAACTCAAGACCAAGTGCAGGTCACGTCACCATGCGCCCTCTCCTCCAGGCCCTGGGCCATTCGGCCAAGAAGCTGGGGCAGCAGGGGCGCTCTGCTCTTCGGACCTCCACCCTCTCCTGGTTGGGGCCCTGCAGTCCCACCCACCACTTACTGCTGGCCACGGAGTCCCCAGCTTACCTTCCCCTCCCAGAGGAGCACTCTCAGATCAATGCCCCACTTGTTTGTTCAGAAAACCATTCTTCCATGTGACAGGCACCGACTCGGACCAAGAGGACGGGGTGTAGAGTTCACAGACCTCAGGGAAGAGGAGCAACAGGTGACAAATGCACAGGACGATGTGGGGAGGCAGAGCCACACGAGGAAAGTGGAGGAGAATGAGGACCGAGGGGGCAGGAAGGCTGCACAGAGGCGGGGACGCTTGTGGCCTGAATTGTGTCCCCCCAACCAAAATCCATATGCCAAGTCCCAACCCCAGCACCTCAGAATGTGACTGGAGATGCACCTTGAAAGAGGTGCTGATCTTTGGGGTGGCTTTGATCCAGAGCAACTGGGACCTTTTAAGGAAAGGAGACCAGGACACAGATGCACACAAAGGAACGACCCTGTGAGGCCCCCAGGGATGATGCCATCTGCAGGCCAAGGAGAGAGGGCCCAGGAAGAACCAGCCCTGGGACACCGCAACCTGGGACCGCCAGCCTCCAGCATGAGATAGTGTCCGTGGTGTGGGCCTGCAGTCTGTGGTTTTGTTACAGCAGCCCCAGCAAACTCATACCCAACATGATTTGACACAGAGGACTGAGGTCCCAACATGCATGGGGACAGTCTATGGCCGAGTAGCTGGAAGAGTGAGGAGGCTGAAAGCAGGCCGAGCGGTGGAGATGCTGGGTGGGAGGATGCCGGGGTGGGAGGAGGCCGGGGTGGGAGGAGACCGAGACCGGGGTCAGCAGAGGCAGTGGTGCCGGGTTGCTGGGGGGAGGGGCTGGGCCTACCAGGACGATGTCAGCCCAGCACTCTGGCGAGGCCGAGCTGAGGACACAGTCTCTGAGGCAGCAGGGCAGCCCTTCTGGAGGATGGGGGGAGGTTAGCAGTGAGGGAGGAAGGGGCAGAGTCTGGGAAGCAGTCTGGACAGTGAGGATGTGTTGTGCTGCAGGAATGTTCTGGAAGGAGGAGCTCTGGAGTGGCAAACGGAGGGAATGGGAAGGAGGCCAGGCAGGCCTCCAGGTGAGGAGGCAGCAGCCTTCCCAGGGACCCCGCCCAGCCCCAGGAGGGAGGGGTGCAGAGGAAGAGCACAGCACCCTCCCTGCCCCTTCTCTACCCCTCCAGGCACCTCCTCCTGCAGCCCTCCCGGGCTCCTGCCACCTCCAACTCCTGCTTGGTTTCTGAGGTGGGCCAGGGATGCACAGTGTCAGTGACAGGGACCCGCAGGACAGGGATCTCCACCCGGTATGGCAGAAACTGTAACAAACTTGCTAACGAACGCCAAAGAAAAACGCACCTGCTTTCGTCATTTTATTTCCTTTTAAATGACACTTGGAAACATCAGGAGTCCATCTGCACCTCACCGTGACCCTTGCAGACTCCAAAGGTATAATCATAGAATTCACAAACTGATAGAAATGATAGAAAAATATACCTGAGAGAAAAAAATTCCAAAGTCTGCCTGCCTCAGGGCCCAGATCTGTGATTCCAGCCCTGGCCCTCTCCACTCCCCCAGATGTGGGCCTTCCAAAATCCAGGGGAGACAAGGGCTCCCCAACTCTTACGAGGGGGAGCATGGCAAAGTTGCTCAATAGACCTTTCAAATTTCAAAAATATTTTTCCAAACACAAAATAAATATAGAAAACATTCATATGAGAAAAGATTTTTTCAAAAAAAAAAGATGGTCCAGTGTAGACCAGACACCACTGGCTTTTCAGAAAGAGCCCAAGTTTATCATCTCTATCTACAGCTTAGAGCCATCCAAGTCATTACGCTAAGCTAATAACCTTTATTAACGATAAACACCATTTTGACAAGTCATAAATAAACACACATACCACTCCCAAAATGTGACGTCATAAGGTCTGGTAGATTCTCCTAATATTCAGGAGATGACAGTTTCAAATACCCCTCAGTGACATATAAATTGAATTTCAAATCATTTAGAAAAAGCAAAATTTGACCACAAAGGGTCCTCGATTACCCTTTAATGACATCTTTTTTTTTTTTTTAAAGAGAGAGAGAGAGAATTTTTAATATTTATTTTTTAGTTTTCGGCGGACACAACATCTTTGTTTGTATGTGGTGCTGAGGCTCGAACCCGAGCTGCACGCATGCCAGGCGAGCGCGCTACCGCTTGAGCCACATCCCCAGCCCCTTTTATTTTTTTTTAAAACAAAGTTGGTGTTACTTATTTGGACCCTTATTTATATGCAGTGCCGAGAATCAAACCCAGTGCCTCACACATGCTAGGCAAGCGCTCTACCACTGAGCGACAGCCTTAGTGACCTTTCGAATCACTGTGGATTTTCTTGATGTCGTATTGGACCAAGTAAAACAAACCACCTCTCCCCCAGCTGGCTGTCCTCAGGGCAGACTGTGACCAAGGCTGGCGCTACTTCCTTGGTCTGCCTCTTTGGGCACCAAGGGACTGGATCCTGGGGTCATCGGGCTTCACATGGACTTGCCAGGTGCATTTTCGAGTGGTGTTGACATCACATGGCTGATCATCAGAAGCCTGCATGCCTCAGGCACTGAGGTCTTGACCAAGGTAGGAACATGGATGGGGTCCCACGATATGACGGCAGGGGCAGCCCTCAGTGGTGGACTGAGTATGAGCACTTGAGGCCGGGGCACACACCTGGGCACTAAGGACCAAATGTATGGCACAAAAAGTTATATTGGCCTGTGGAATGGGTCCTTCCTACCTGTACGCATGTATGTATGTATGTATGCATAGCATGTATGTACGTGTAGTGTGCATGTATGGGTGGATGGATGGATAGTGCTGGGGCTGGAACCAGGCCCTCGCTCTAGGGAGGCAGGTGTTCTACCACTGAGCTGTGGCCCCGCCCTCTACTCTGCTTAGAAGGGATTACGCCTGATAAGTGGGGGATATGTTAATTAATTAAAAGCTAGTTTTTGGTCAGAGGCATTTGTCTTCCCCATTGTGTGAGCTCGCCCAGCCCTCTGGCTCTTCGCCATGCCAAAGGCAGCCTGGCTCACCCTTGGCCTTCAGGGTCAATCTCAGAGCGCCCGGGGCCCCTTCTGGAATCAAACTTCAAAAGCAGGAAAGTAGATAGACTCAGGTGTAACTTCCCAGCAGCCACGAGGTAGGGTTCCTTCCATCCTCACTCCCAACACAACAGGGGACCTTTCGTGCCCCAGAGACATACCGGTTCATTTTAAATACACTTCAGCCCAGGGGGATCTTTCCTGAGTTCACAGCAGGTGTCTGAGTCTTGGAGAACATAAACAGATATCAGCAATCAACTACAGGCCTCAGGATCAGGTGTCTGCAGGGACCTTGGCACCCACGTCCAGTCCAGCACTCTAACGCCAGGGCACTACCTCGCTGGTGCTCAGATACCTCCTTTGGGAAGTCCCCTGAGGACCAAGAGATCAGTACAAGTACCTCCCCTCCACCAGGCCCGAGCCAGGAGCCAGGACAGAGAGAGGAGTAAGGCCACAAGAACTCCCCATTTCCAGAGAGACAGCCTCGGAAATGGCCAACACGTCCATCCTGCTGAAACCCATTCTTAATATGTCCATGATGGGAAGAGGTCCTTCCTAATGGGAGACACGAGAAAACACAACCAGCATCTCATCTATCTAAAAGGATGCACGGCGGCTGTGATAGTGCATCCTTGGGCTTGTTGATTATTTAATCCACCTCGGAGCCAGGGACCCAGTGTGGAGCGTCCGGGAGAGCCACCGAGGCCCGCCGTTCTTTCCTATGGCAACTGTGGGCTGAGCGGTAAGGGAGGGGACGCTAAGAGCACTCCCTGCACGTCTCTGCTTATGGAAACCACCCAGGCTCAGGAGGACGCTGGGTCGGCCTCACCTTATCTCACTCTCACTCCAAACAGCCCCAAGGTCGAGCTTGGGAAGGCTCTGACACGGACTCCGAGCAGTTCCTGCAGTTCAGGCTTCCACGGCTCCAGGCCTGGTGTGCCGTCCTTGTGTAATGAGTGTGCACGTCACTGTGCAAAGGTGAGGACAGGGGAGACCTCTCAAATGCCACAGATCACCCTGACAGCTGAGAAAACGGGGGGCACCTGCTCCCCACTCCTGAACAACCCAACAGCCTGGTGCACTACATACATAGATCCCCAGATTTCGCTTTCTCCCCCTACACACACACACACACACACACATACACACACACAGGCGGACACCTGGAGCTGAGCGTCCTGTTAAGCAGGAGGACAGATGGAAGGGGTTTGTGTTCTGAAGCCGGACACTTGTTCCAGCTGACGGAGGGAAACTCCAGTGACCAGCTAGCCAGGACAGGACGGGGAGGGGACCCAGCAAAACAGGAGGGCTCTTGGAAAGCCACACATGACCCAGGGCCAATCCTTAGGTTGGAGAGGACCAGGAAAGAGGAGAATGACACTCTGGTCAACATCTGGCAGCAACCAGGACGAGGGACAAGATGGCAGCTCCTCGGGTGACCAGCCCTGAGCTTCCGGGGGAGGCATGCCATGGGGAGACGTGCCAACCACACCCTGTGAGGCTGCTCACGGAGGCCACACATGAAGACCAACAGCCACTGGGCCAGTTACCAAGTCCCACTAAACCCAACTGCTCTGCAGACCAAGGCTTGGTTAAAATCAGAATAGCCACCTGCACTGGCCACAGAGGTCTTCAATGAGACAGCAGTGTGGACACAGTGGACCACATCTGTCCACAGAAAAGGCAATGAGCAGATGCCTGCTCGTCCAGCTGTCGAGGAACAGCAGCCCAGCATCCTCTGAACACGGCGCATTCGCTTGGTGGAAGCTCTTTTGGAAAACCCACAGCCCTGACCCTCAGCTTGACCCTCACTCATGACCTCCTGTCAAAGCACCGAGCGAATCTGCCCAAGAAATGGATAAATAAAAGTGAATGGCTGCCGGGGTTTCTGATGCCAAGTTCCAGCCCTGGATGGTCCACTCGCTGGAGGACTTGGCAAAGTCACTCCATTTTTCTGAGCCTCGGTTTCCTCATCTATGAAAGAAGGTTTACTGGGGTTGGTTTTGGACACGGCACATGATTTCTAAGACACCCTCCCCTCCCATCTTTGCTTTGGTCAGATTTTCACATGTTCTGAACTCACGTCCAGAACACAGTGCTGTGTGACTTCGAAGAATGTCAAGGACAGAAGAACTCCTCCAAGAGTTGCAGGAAGGATTCAAAGGAAGGGAAGGAGCAAGGGCCTAAGGGCACTCTGCAGAAATCTTGGTTTGCACACAGGTCAGCATGCCTGGTGGTGCACACCACCGAGAACACTATTTACACCACCATACCGCCCACCCCAAGGCACAGCCTAAGCACTGACAATGATCCCAAGCACCTACATCTACTGAGCACCTTACTATGGCATGCTGAGCAATGTCTCTTCCATCTCGTTTAACCCACACAAGTATCCCTGGAGGTAGGAACCATTTTTCAAATGAGAAAACCAAGGCAAGTAGGTAAGAAAGCTAAAATGCAGACCCAGGGAGCGATCCCACAGAACTTGCAGACTGCTCCAGACAACACGGTCCTGGGGATTAAGGGTCCCCCAGCGTCATGCTGGAGCCTCAGACTAAATTCTAAATACCCAACAGCTGCCCTTTCCATGGTCTATTTCACTCATTCCGACTGAGGTTGGCTCCGTGCACACAAGTATATTAACGCACATTATTCTTGCTAAACCCAGAGTCCCTTTGTATTTTCCTTTTCTTAGCTGAAGTCTGAAACTTGAGGGGGAAAAAAATTTAATACATTACTTTAAAAGCCAAAGTACGCGTGTGCCTATTTTTTTGTACAAAAATGACCATACTCAAAGGAATCAAAAACTTTTGAGAATTAAATAATTTTGCTTAGAAGCTCAATTCAGCTCCGGGCCAGGCTTTTGGCACAGCTGGGGCAGAGGTGGACACCCAGCAGGAGCTGGGGCTCGCCTCTGAGGCCGCTCATAGGTGGCGTGGCGAAGGTAACTGCAGACAGAGGTCACCGCGAAGTTCATCAAATGGGCAGTGACGTCCGAAGCAGGGACAGCTGCTGCTCTTGCCACACGTCACTCCCTGCAGCCTGCAGGTGTGTGGCCTTCACATTCACTGACTCCAGGCCAGGAGGCTCTGCCCTCGGGACATCTGGGCTTTGTCATTAGACCTGCCGTTTCTGAAAAGTGCTCTGGAGCCGGGGATGAGGCTCAGTGGCAGAGCCCGGCACGACCACACCGGCACACACGTGCACACACACACGATCACTCTGGAAGGAGGGCCTGTGAGACGGGTCAGGAGGAGGTGGCCTGAGTTCAGCTGAACCAAGATGGTGGCCTAGACAAAGTTCTAGGGCCAACAAGGAGAAGAGGCCAAACCTGCAGAACTGGCAACATCAGACGTGGGCAGAGGCAAGATGGGGGCGGCACGGTGCAAGGATGGCCAGGCCGAGTGGACAGGTGGAGGTTGAAGACCTTTCCTGAGACCCAGAGCTGGGCAAGCCGGGGCCTGGGGGAGGAGGCCTGGAGTCTGGCTGTAGGGGTGGCCCTCTGGCACCTCCCTACTGGGAGCCAGGAGACCTGAGGCTAACGTCTGAACTGGGGGCAAGACTCGGGGGGACCTGCGAGTGTCTGCGGTCTTGGATTCTCGCTCCTCTTTACCCAGCGGGGTGTACGGCTACCGCAGTGTGTTTTCAGACGAGCGGGAGTGAATTTTCTCATAAGCTGTATAGCAAGGTGTCCTCTGTGCCAAGATGAGGGTCAGGAGGTCCACTCTCCTCCACTGCCACTGGGCACAGAATTGAGGCACCAGCTCCCAAAACCCAGGCTTTCCATGCAAAAAATAAGGGGAAGAGGCCGGATCTCAACGGCTCCCTCCTCAAGAAGCTCAGCAACGCCCCCTGCCCTGGGAAGGGCTTCCTCGCTCATTCCAGTTGACGGCATCTAAGCACACAGGGAGGGTGACCTGGGGCCCACACATCCCGCACAGGAAGGCTGGAGAATCCGGGGGCCCCAGGGCCGTGGTTCTGGGTCATTGTCCTCAGGAACTAAGAGTCCACGGGCTGAGGAAAAGGGGCCGATTGCTAAAATCATCAAGGAGAGGAAGGCGGGCGTGGCTGAGGCAAGGTGGCGGCCCGTGGGGCTGAAGTCGGGCCCCCAGGCCACGCGCCCTGTCTGCCTTGCCACCTGAGGCTGCCCCTCACAGAGGTCAGGGGGCGCTGCCGTAGAGCAGGTCCCTGTCTTTGGTTGGGGGGACGGTAACACACACGCACTCACGGACTCAGCTGGAACCCAGTGCATTCGTGTCTTGGAGACTCCACTCCTCCAGTCCAGGGTCACCTCTTCCTCTAAGCACCGTCCATGAAGGTCAATCTGGTTCCACTCAACAAAACTTGTTATCGTCTACCCCGAGCTAGAACCCGCCAAGAACTCAGTGTGTGTCCGCGGGGAAAGCAGAGACCACGAAGCTCACACCCACGTCAAGTGAACGTGATCGATAAACACCGGAGGCTCGTCGTCCGTCACACACAGTACTGCCCCGTCAGACCAGGGCACGGAGGGATGCGCGCGGAGAGAGCGGCGATTTCTTATAAGGAGGTCGGGGTAGTCCTCGTTGAGAAGGTAGCATCTGATTTGAGGGGGAAAGGAGTGAGCCATGAGAATATCTGAGGAAAGAGTTTTCCTGGCAGAGGGAACAGTCTGCAAAGACCGCGAGGTGGATGTTCAAGAAAGGGCACAGAGACCGCTGCGGCCGGAGCAGTACTGCTGGTCAGGGAACAGCCAGAGTGAGTGAGGGGAGACTGTAAGGGAACAACAGAGGCAGATGACGGTACGAAGAATGTGGCTTTCACTGGGAGACGGAAAGCCACTGGGGTCTCTGAGCAAAGAAGTGAGATTCCATTTTGTGTTACTATCACATAACACCTGAAAGTGGAAAACTTAATAAGAAAAGAAGTATGTTTGGCTCACAGTTCTGGAAGTTGCAAAGTCCACGAGCAGGATCCAGCATCTGGAGAGGGCCTCTGTGCTGCATCATCTCACAGTGGAAGGTGGAAGAGCTAGAGGAGGGGAGAGCCAGCAAGCAAGGGAGGGGGGCAACTCATTTTCGTAACAACCTAGTCCTGCAATAACCACACTAGTGCACTCATGAGGGCGGAGCTTTCCACACCTGAGTGCCTCGGTTAGGCCCCGCCCCCAACAGGCCCCGCCTCCTAACACACTGCATTGGGGATTCAGTTTCCAACACAAGAACTCGGGGACACAGTCAAGTCATAGCACATTCTCTGCTCCACACTTCTGGAGACTCACTCCGGGGACAGACTAAGGCGATGCAGTGAGGGAGGCTGAGGGTCCAGGCGGGAGGCCACTGCAGGACTGCAGGTGAGAGGTGGCGGGTGAGCAAGGGTGGCAGTGGTGAGGGGCACCAGGTGGACCCGGGGTGAGGGCAGAGGCAGCAGCCTTGCAGCCCAGCAACACCTGCAAGACTTTTGCCTGGAGCCACGGGAAGGACGGAGTGGCCACTGAGAGAGTGTCCACTCGCTGAGACAGGGAAGGCAGCGGGGAGGGGCTGGGGTGGCTGTGCTCACCATGTAAAAGTATGTAGACAGGGGACATGAGAGATGGAAGACCAGAGGGGACCCGCTGGGGACAAGCGAGGTGCCGCCAACACAGCGAGGACATTTAGAACACAGGACGAGGCCCCGAGGACTGGGTCTCCCCAAGGACAGGGCAGCTGGGCTGAGCCCACAGACTGCAGCCCGGACGCCAGGGCAAAAGGAAGAACGGGCAGAAGAGATGGAACTGGCAAGGCCAGGAGCCAAGGCCAGGAGGCGTCCTGGACGCTGGTTCCTAGAACTGTCCAGGAAGTGACCACTCCCGGCCAGGCCCTGTCAGAGGAGGACTGAGACCTGCCCCAGCAAGGCCAAAGCTGTGGGGCGAGGGGGCTGTGATCTGATGGGGGGATTTCAGGAGGACCCTGGAGGAGCTCAAAGCCTGCAGCTGGGGGTGGGGGCGGTGGCATGCTGCTTTGCTGCTGTTAGACGGGGAGGGGCAGCTGGTCTGTGTGCCCAGGGGGTGATCCCACAGAGGGGAGGTGGCTGGAGGGGAGGAGAGTGAGGTCCAGAGCAGGAGGCCCAGCCTCCAGATGAGACCAGCTGGGACTTGAGTCCAAAAGCAGAGGCCGCTGGAGCCCCGCGGCTCTCCAGGATCTGGTGGGTGACACGTGGTGGCCGGAGGAGTCTGAGAAGGGTCCCCAGGAGCGCAGGTGGAGCAGTCAATGGGTGAGCTCCAGCCAGCCCCAGGACTGTGGGAGGGGCCAGCTGACAGCCTGGGAGGCCCAGGGCAGTGCTGTGACTCACACAGTGGCCCCAGGGCTCCGGATCCCGTCCTGTTTCTGATACTTTCTGGCTACTCCTCATCTACAAACCACGGACCCTGGCGGCCAGCTGCCCGGGCAGTGGTCGTGAGCATTCAGATGAGGCAGAGCACACCGCGTCTGCTCTCGAGACCACTCCTCTCTGATGCCCGTGAGTGAAGCCACTGTGCGGCCACCCACCCCTCTCCAGTCCCACTGGGTGTCACTGGGAAAGCACAGACTCTCTGCCCCCATCCACGCTTTCACGGGGTCCTCCTCTCAGGTCCTGGGACCCAAACAGCAGGAGCCTGCATTCCACAGCTTGGGAGCCGTGAGCAGCCTCTGGGTCCCTCTGAGCTTCTCTCATCCTACATAAGTGAGGAGGAGGGCTGGGTGAGCACTAAGGTCCCCTCAAGTTCTAGATCATGGAATAAAGAAATACCGTGGGAGTCAAGGTTTTGCAGAAGATCCTTGAAGAACACACGGAGGCTGTGGAAGGAGCCCACACCTGTCCTCACCTGTCCCTTTGCCAAGGGCTCAGGCTGGTGCTAGACCATCCACGCCAACCTCAGATCACCCACTGAGACCAGTGGCCACAGACCCATACTGGACACAGGCCCTGGCCTCCTGCCAGACAGTCCTTCACTTCAAAGCACCATCATCTGACAAATCAGAGGCAGTCAGTCCCCGGGAACCAAGGGCCCAGGCTCATGGCAAAACCTGGGCTCCAGAAACCATTGCACCCCTCATGTTCCCACTGAGGCGGAGGCGCTTCTGAACACGCCCGCACGTTCAGAGCAGCCAGGACGAGGAGAACATCCACGAGGCCACAGCACGAGCCAGACACGAGAAATGCCGTGCAGAATGGGCACCAGACCTTTGCAGCACATTGCCTTTCCTGAGGGCCAGCAAGAGCTCAGCCCGACATTGGCCAGTTCCACAGTAGCATGAAGCCTGGTAAAGTAAAGAGTTAAAAAAAAAAAAAAAAAACCACAACACACAGTTCCTTAATGAGGAGCAAGACACTCTGTATCACTGGCAGTGGCCAAATGGTCACAGTCCTAGCAGAGAAGTGCCCTCTGTTCACGCAGCCCTGCAAAATGGGCTCACACAATCCTCTGGGGGAGAGAAAAGAGGTTAAATTCCAAACCACAGGACTCAGTGGGTCCTTGGCCATGTGATAAATTCAGTGACGATGACCTGGGGTCAGGTTGGGGGACGTAGACACAGGGAGACTCCCTGGGACCAGGGTCAATCTTAGTGTTTTGTAAATACGGGGTCCTTGAAAGCGGCTTGCTGTGGTCTAGCCAAATGCCCAGCAAGTTCCTGGAATCCAGCATGCCCAGCGGCCTTCAGTCTGAACTCAGTGCCCTAAAGTACTCCAGGGCTATGGCTCGTCCCACTGACCTGCAGCAAAGAGACCAGGTGTCCCTGAAGGCTGGGGACAGGCATCACAACCCTGGGGACATCAGCAGTGTGGCCAGTCGCAACAGGCAACCCTGGAAGCGGCTTCTGAGTCTAACCGACGAAGTCGTCAAGTCAGTTGCCACCTGAAGCTGGACGAGGGCTGCAGCCACGCAGGCATGCCTACCCTCGGGGATGTGCCCAGGGCTGAGTACCGCAACGCTAATGAGGACTCAGGGCCCAGCTCCGTCATCCCCAGGGACGTAAGGAACTGGAGACAGACTGGAGTCTGTCTCAGCACTGGAAAGCATCAGGCCAGGAGTGGAGGGGCTCTCTGGAAAGGGAGCCGGGGTGCAGCTGCCAGGCCTTCCTCAGCCTTTACAACACCACCCTCTCCCGAGGGACAGAGGGACCCCGCTGGGGGCTGCCAGCCAGATTCCTGCTCAGCTTCCACGCCTGGTCAACCTCGGCTGGCTATAAACCTTGGGACAGCGGCTGTACCTCCGTAGCTACTGTTTCCTTATCTGTAAAATAGGAAGCACAGTGCCCACCACCCCCCAGGGACGCTGAGCCCTGAAATGAGCCAATGCAGGAGGGGACCAGGTGCTCAGCCGGAGCCCAGTGCTCCAGAGGTGGGGCGGGTGTTGCCTGGGGCAGCTTGGTTTAAGCGCACATTCATTCTAGTTTGGGTCTGGAGCCCTGAGAACAGTGTCCTCAGGGTCCTGCTCCCTACGTCCTTCTCACTCCGTCTGTACCCCTGAGGATTCTCAGCAGCGCCATCCAAGATCTTGGACCCACGTGCCACTGGGCTCCACTCAGACCTCGGGACAGTCTTCCTGGGAGGTCTCCAGGACATGCCAGTAGATCAGCAGCTCCTTGGGTGTGATGAAATGGCAGGCCACGATCTTCCTAAAGCGGCACACGGAGAAGCGTAACCCCCCCGGGAAGAACGTCTGCTGGGAGTGGAGCTCCTCGGGCCGGATCTGCAGCTTTGCCAGGCAGAGCCCCACAAAGACATCCTCAAGCTTAATGAAGGGGACGCTCTCGGAGACGTTGTACACCTGGCTGGCCACGTCGCTGGAGAAGACGTAGCCGGTGCCAGAGCAGAAGGGCGGGTACCTGTCCCAGGGGTATTCATATTTACTCACAAACCACTTATTGAACTTCTTCCTGATGGGATACTCGTTGAGCTTCAGGAAGCCTGTGAAAAACCTCGTTGTCCTGTTCTTCTTCAGGAGTAGCTCGGTCAGGTAGTGGACGTTCACAAACATGTCCGAGTCCGTCTTCATCACGAAAGCCACCTGAGGACAGAAGTAGTGGACCCACTCCATGCCCATCATGGTCTTGAGGGTCAGATTGAAGTAGACATCCCTGAAGTTCTTCTGGATGATGTCGCCGTGCTGCTGGCTCTCCTGGGCCACCACGCTCATCTCGTCCTGGTTGGCCGTGGTCCCCAGGAGGAAGAATGTCCTCACCCGCCTCCCGCTCACTGTCCTCTCTCCCCCCCACGTCTTCCGGATGGCCATGCGAGCGGCCACCTGCTTGTGGGATGAAGTCACCAGCAGGACAAGGAAGGGAGGATCTTGCCTGCAATCGATATCTGGGAGCTGAAGGAACGTCCCGTATTTTTTCTTGAAAACGAAAGGCTCTTCTTTATAAGGAGCCATGCTGAAATACAAGCACAGCGCTCCCACCAACAGCAGGCACGCATAGGTCAGCCTCAACTTCTGGTAAGCCATCTGCAAGGAACAAGACCAGCCATCAGCCCCCCAAAGCAAGAGGGTGGGAGGTGGGTGCCGAGACAGAGCGAGGCGGGGGTCCTGTTCCACAGCACAGTGGGGTGACTGTGGTTCACACCAGGCGACTGTGTATTTTACAAAAACTACAAGAGAGGAGTGTGAACCTTCCCGGGACAAAGAAACGTACATGTTTAAGGAGACGGAAATGCTAACCACCTGATGTGATCACACACTGAACATAAGTATCAAATTGTCACCCCACAAGTGTGTGCAATTAAAAACATAAAAGTAATTTTTAAACATTGTGAGTGCCCGTGCGGCTGGCTGAGATACAGGAAGGGGCAGACCCATGTTTAGAAACGCTGGAATCCCGCTGCTTCCAGAGGAGGGGCAGCATGTAAACACACAGGCACAAGGACTGCCTGCAACTCCGGCCTCAGGGCACCGGACAGAGAGCGCAGGGCACTGGGCAGAGGTCCAGCTCTGCAGCTGGCCAGCCCTTTGCCTCCGGGAGTCAGGGGTTTGTGTCCAAGGTGTTGGGACCAGGTCCTCAGCAGGTCTTCAGCCTTGCCCCCGCTACCCCGGGTGGGAAGTAGCTTGCAGGACTGGGAACCACACGCCCACGCCTGGACGCGGGCACTGGGTACCGCCTCCTCTACCTAGCCACCCACTCCCAGAGGACACCCATCTGCGTCTGAGGAGCACACTACCCGGGATTCGGGGAGGGGGTTGCGATTCGTTTTCTTACGCTGCCTTTTCACATCTCCTATCTGGTTTTCTCTCCTCTTCTCCCCCTGGTCTCTGCTGTTCCCGAGTTCGGGATGGTGCATGTTGACATTATAACATGAAGAAAGCAGGGAACTCACGTTCGCTGGGTCGGAGAATCTCTGGTTTGAAAGCAGAGTCACGGGGCAGAAGCCAAGAGGAAATCCATCATGAAGCGCTGTCCGGACGACTTTCCACGCAGCCCAGTGCCGGGATTGACTCGTTTGTCAAAAGGATGACTCGGTCTCTCAGCAATCACTAGGAAAAAAAAAAACAGTGTTCAAGTCACCCACGCCTCACCGGCAGGTCCTCACGGCTTGCTGTATCTGTAGTCCCACTTTGTCACCTACCTGTGTGACCCTGAGCATGTGCACCCCACTCACTCCCACCTCACTGTGATCGCCTGTGGAATGGGTACAGCTGAAACCAACAAAGCCCACCACCCATCCGCCCGTCAACAGTAACGGCGTGCAGATGGCTGCGCATCCTTCCAGGTCTAATGGATGGCTCCTCACAGCTTTCCAACCGAGGCCTGGTGAACTGTAGTCCAGCTTCTAACACTTTACCTTATCTGTGGAGCAGAGTGTATGGCTGATGCTTCAAGAATTTAACAGAGGTGAGAAATCCATCAATCCCCAATTCAGAGGCTATGACTTAAAAAAACATCATCTTGAGTGAGAGGCCAGAGGGCCATCAAGAAAAGAAGCTGGTGGACTGAAACGGTGGGGAGTCATTTTGATGCCACAGAGTACCTCAAAATTTCATTAAGTCAAAACTCTAAATACACTCACTCTAAAAGAAATGAAGCTGAAATCCCAGCAGCTCGGGAGGCTGAGGCAGGAGGATCACAAGTTCAAAGCCTCAACAACTTATCGAGGCCCTAAGCAACTGAGAAAGACCCTGTCTCTACATAAAATACAGAAAAGGACAGGGGGTGTGGCTCGGTGTTCAACAACCCTGGGTTATCTCCGGTACCAAAAAAAAAATGAAACCAATAAATCAATCATAGAGCCTTCTGGAACCAGCTCACTCTTCAGGGAACTTCTCCTGAGGCAGACTTGGCCAAGCTCCTGTTCTGCTCAGAGGACACCGAGTCCCTGTCCAGCTGGAGGCCCCGGTGACCCAAGAGGAATCCCTGCCAGAGACAAAGGGAAGCAGGAAGCGGTCTGCTGCGTGCCCCGGGATGCGGGAGTGCCCCCTTTCTGTCTGTCTTTCTTTGTGAGATCATCCACCTGCATGGCCAGGATATGTAGGTCATTGGGGTGGGGACCTGACCGCATCCCCCCTACACTTTAGGGAGAAACATAAAACCAAACGCGAGGTGGGGGGGGGGGGCTTTTCTACTTTGCTTCCTTCTTGGATAACTGGCTCTACTCAGCAGGTGGCTTCAATGGTGACCCTTAGGCTGTCATCGCCAGTGGACCTTTTCTCAAGACCCTTCCTGTGGATCTGAGTTCCCAAGGACGGACAGTCATGCCCCTCACTGCACTGGCTTCTGGCTGGGTATCAGATGGCATCCTGGGGTCAGGGTGGGTGCCAAGCCCAACTGGCCAGAGCTCAGCGGAGTCCTCTGTTTCCACGAGCAGCTGGGATATTTTTTCTGCCTAAAGTGGAGTGACCCAGAAATCACCTCCAAAGTTATAGCTGGAGATCCCATTTACAAAGCACCTGCATCTTTGATTGAGGACCAGGTACCCAGCCTTCCACTGAGGGTGTGCAACAGGGGTCCCTTGTGCTGGGGCATGGCCCCTGTTGCTCTGCCACTGCAGATTATTTTAAAACTGACAGCAGTTGTGTGTGTTGGTTGACTCTCTCCTCTCCACACCCCCCCCCGCCCTAACCTTGGGGAAAACAAGATCACCCTTATTTCTAGGGGAGAACATGGTTTTGAGAAGAGGGAAAAAGAAGTTTCATCCACACACCAGGGGGATAAAGTAATTCGGACCTCGGGACTGGCCCGGCAGCACATCTCAGAAACGGCTCTCTCTCGGGGCCACGATGGAGTGAGGACCCCTGGCCCAGCACACCTGGAATGCAGTCTTTGATGCACCCCTTTAAAAGCCCTCTGCTCCCCCTGATGGGCAGAGTCACAGCTCTGGGACAGATGTCCCCTGTGTTTCTCCTTTACTAGCCAAGAAATAAAACTTCTTTTCCCCTTTTCTCAAAACCGTGTTCTCATTATTGGATTGGCATCAGGAACAAGGACAGAGCTTCTGCTAACAAGTGGATTCGGGGAGGCACAGAGTTAGCACTGAAACTGCAGCTTCTGGGAGGAGCAGTGTGTGCCTCCAGAGGGCCGATCCCGGGCTGGCTGGGAGGCAGGGGACCAGAGCATAACGCCACTCCGCCTTACCTGGGACACAGCCATGAACAGTAGCCAAGTCTGCTAGGGAAGCCTCACTTTGAAGCACACCTGGATGGGGCTGTGAGCCTGGCCAGCCAGAAACGTAGGCACAGTCCCCCCAGCAGGTTGTGCGTCCAGGCTCTGCTCTGTAACCTGTGAGCACATCCAGAGCCTCAGCTCGCCCAGGAATCACACGCAAAAGCAGCCCCCGCTCCCACCTGCTGGCCTCTGGAGCACTGTGCCCTCTGGGAGTGCCTGGAGGGCAAGCCTGGAGGGCAGGGGCGTGTCTTGCACCTCTCCTATGCCCCAGAGGGCTGTGTGAGGTCAGGGAAGGGCTATCTGAAGGGAACCCTGAAGTCAGCGTCCTAACCCCACAGCACATGGAGGAGGGTCCAGCACCCTCCCAGGCCTGATGGGGAGACCCAGCCTTAAGCCTGACCTACAGCTACAGTCCACAGAGATAGAGGGATGGGAAGACCACATGGTCAAGGACTAGAAGACCAGAGGGTGGTCTGGAAAGTTCCATTCAAGAAGGGTGGGGCGTCACCTCTTAGATCTGAAGGGAAGAGGTCCATTGTGCAGAGCACACAGCCAAGTCCAATCACGAGGCTAGCCTGGGCCTTACAGAGGAAAGACAGGCTGGAGGTCCATTTTCCATGAGATTAGGGAAGCCGAGGCCCAGGGCTGCTGGCCACCACCGTTTTCTTTTTTAAAGAAGATGGCCCTCTGCCCGAGTTGTTAGGCTGCAGACACTGTGAACCCTGGGTCTGCCCCTGGGATCAAGCAAGGGGAAGGACTCTCCAAGGGTGAGCCACAGCAGGCCACCCCAGTGCCCCCCCCCAAGCAATCACAGAGCAGCGGTGCTCAGTGAGACCCTCAGAGTGGCCCAGGTCCACATGGTGGCAACCCCAGCCTGACGTCCAGCTCCCTGCTGCTGGACTCGGCCCCAGAGGGTCAGGAGGCTGTGCAACTCTGTGGTGTGATGGTTAATTTTCTGTTATCAATTTTGTATGACCCGGCCAGGATGTTGGGTCACACATTACCTACGGCCAGGTCCGGGAGGAGTGTGAGGGTGAGATGGCATTTGAATTGGTGGACGCAGGGGAGCAGATGGCCCTCCCAGTGGGGGTGGTGGCATCCATCACTCAGCTGAGGGCCGGAGGAGGACAAAAGGACAGGCCTCCCCAGTGAGGGACTCCCTCCTGCCAGGAGCTGGCGCTCCATCAGGCCCTTCCTGCCTCAGAGCTGAAGGGAAACGTCAGCTGTGCTCTATCTCAGGCTGGTGGCCTTGGGACTGGAACCTACACCATCAGCTGGACCTCCAGCGTGCTGACAGCAGGCCTGGGCACTTTCCAGCCTCCACAGCTGTGTGGCCAATTCCCGTATAAAGCCTTTTGAGTGCACGTGGCCTGTGGGCCCTGGCGCGCTCCGGTGCGTGCAGGGAGCCCCCGCCTCTCCTGGGCAGCTGTCAAGGATGTTCAAGGGCAGCCTGGGATGTCGAGGTGGCAAAGGTTCTCTGAGTGCTTACAGAAGAAGTGCCAATCACGAAGAGGAGTCGGAAGCCACCCACATACCACCGAAGAGCGGGCAGAGGCGGGAGGCGGAGTCCCTAGCCACACAGCCCAGGGGGTACTTCTAAGCTGCTCGGATGAAAGTCAAGGCTATCTACCTGTCATTAGCAGAGTCCAACAGCTTGCTTTACAAGGGACGCAAGCATCCGACCTCTCTAAGAAAACTGTCAGAGGGATAGGCAAAGATCTACACTAGAGGACCCACTCCCACGCGGGGTCCCCAGACCCCCTCATACGTTTCTCCTGACAAACAACACATCACAATAACAAAAGGAGCCATCTTTCAGTAGAGCGTAGGGGCAACTGGATGTCCATGTAGGGAGAGATGGGCTTAATGCCACACGAAACAATCAAACCCAGAGAGGTTATATAACTAAAGCTGAAAGGTATGACAGTAAGACTTCTGGAAGAAACACTCTCTGATCTTGGACCGGTTCATTAATTTTAAACAGGACACACACACACACACACACATACACACACACCCCAGGCTGGGATGATACATGTGCTACCCCTACATCTGACACAGGACAACTATCCAAACATGTAGAGGATCTCTACAAATCACTAAGAAAAGGAGCAAAACACCCACCATTTTACAAAAATAAATTGTGAACAGATATTTCACAAAAAGAAGATACCCAAACAGTCACATGCCCAAGAAAGGTCAGCACCACAAGTCATCAGGGAAAGGCAAACAAAGCAATCTTGAAACACCACTGTCACCCATGAGCATGACCAAAATGAAACTGGAGACAACTCCAAGTGCTGCCAAGAACATGAAGCAGTGGGGTCTATTTCCGCACCCGCGGGCATGGGCAGTAAGACAGCGCTGTGTAGGGCCGTGTCCTTTTTAGCAGTGGACCTAAGTGCTGTGACCCAGCAACCAGGCCTACACTGCCCATGTCCACCCAGAGACACGGTGGAGTCGTTCACAGCAACATGGCTCCTACTTTCCAAAAATAGTTCCTTGAGTCTGGGCCTGAACAGGAGAGAGAGACCACACAGTCATTTGAAAAGGGAATTGTTTACTCTAATAAAGGATTTGAGTAATAAGAGATCAACAGTAAAAAAAAAGCACAGAGAACTCTAAAGTACACAGGAAGAAGCCACTGGCCCCAGGGCTGAAATCAAGCCCCCAAGGAAAAGCCCCCCAACCGCAGGCTGAGCCCCGGGGCTTGCTGGACAGGCACATCCACTCCAATGACGGGGAGGGAAAGTCCCTGTGGAGCCACATCAGCAGAGCACTTGACCTCCAACCTCTGCAACTCACCAGGCACCTGCCCTCTTTGGTGGCCCGGGAATGCTGTTTGGCAGGTGGGCTCTGCTACAAAACCACCAGG